TTGCCCCTCATTGGCCAGTTCCTCCAGAACCTCTCTAGCCTCCTGGAGGACTTCTCTATGGCCCTTTTGGCCTTAGGGTCTAGCCCCATTACAGGCCTATAAGAACCCTGTTGAATACCACGGATGTTAAATTGCAGTTAATTGACTAGTCAAGTAGTTGATGGAATTTCCATCGACTAGTCGATAGGCACTTCTGCATTCCTCCTTTGAAATGTACACGAACCCCCGCTGACTCCAGGCTGCATGCAGGTGCCTGCTTTGAAATGTATAAGAGTCCTCAGCAGGGGCTCTTGTGTGTTTCAAAGGCATGGAGCTTGGCGTCAGTGGGTGACTCTCCAGCTGACCCTGGGTTCGGCTGAAATGCCATGGGAAGCCCAGGATCAGATGGGGACTCCACAGCTGACCTCGGACTCCACAGCTCTGCCTTTTTAAAACGCTTCTTCTGTGTTTAGAAGTGGTGGCCGCACAGCTGAGCCTGGGCTCTGCTGTGCAACACGGGCCCCTTTGAAATGCCGAGTCGGTATTTTAAAGGGGCAGCACCGTGGAGCCTGGGGTCACTCCCCAGCTGATCCCGGGCTCCACGGTGCTTCGACGTTTTAAAGGGGCAGTCCCGCACAGCTGATCCCAGGCTCAGTTGTACAGCACTGCCACTTTGAAGTACCTCTTCTTCCCCGCCCCCTTTTGCTGCCTCTGTCTGATAGAGGCAGCAAGGGTGGCAGGGTAGGGGATCAACTAGTTGACTAGTCAACTAGTCCTTAACATCCTTGTTGAATACATGCTTTTTATTTATTTTAACCATTTGATTTAAATCAAATACAAGTTTTTGGTTTTATTAAAACTCAGCACTGTGTTGAGTAATAGATTAATCTTATCGATGATATTGCTTCTCCTGCCCCTCCCTGTTGTGGCATTATCCCCCTGTAAATGTGTTGTCAGGATAGGGTAAAATGAAAGTTTTATTTTGTAAGCCAATAGGGTCTGATCTGTAATACGTCTAAAGCAATGGAAAGAATCCCACTAACTTGAGTGGGAGCTGGATCAGGCTTCTAATGATATAGCTGAAAGCGGGAAACATGAATTTTTTTTCCATTTGCCGCAGTGATTGTTAGGTAATGCCTCTGCTGAGAGGAAAACATGAACAGTGCATTCCATGGCATTTATTACACATGCCCAGTGTAAATAATATACAGAAATGGAGAGAAGTGAAAAGGATCTGTGCACTTATAAATTGAAACAAGACTTTAATAATAACTTTCAGATTTGTGAGTTCTTCACATTTGCATCCTGTTCAAAATTGCCTTTTAAACTTCTTGTTGCAGAACTTGGCTTACCCCTGATGTAATGCTGCCTGTTCAATTTTTCCTTAACAATAAATGATTTATAGCTGTCTCTTCCCAATCATCTGGGTTACAGCTTTTGCAGCGGTTCATTTGCAGAGCAAAAATAAAGGCTGAACACAAAAACAGAGAATTGGATTTGCTCTTCCAAGGCTGGTTTCTGTAAGGTGTGAACGCTTATAAATTCAACACAATCGTTTCCCTGGGATATTCTGCATGGTTTTGTGTGTTGGATTTTGAAATAACAGCTTATTTCTTTTAGTTGATCAGGACTGACTTAGCACAGTCTTAGAGGAGAGGAGCCTTTTCGTCATTACATTAGTGCCTGTGTATTGAACAGTGCAAACATAGTGGTTAGTAAAATATGAGGAACACAAGTGAGAAGTGAAGGTAAACAAAATAATATCTGAGCTCAGCTGCACTGAGAGATAGCAAGTAGAGCTGAGTGGTGAATAATGTCATTTCAAATCAACCAAAACATTTTAGGTCAACTCAGAACATTCTTTTAATATGCTCTTCTGTGTGTGTGTGTGTGTGTGTGTGTGTGTGTGTGTGTGATTTTTTTTTTTAAAGGATGGGTTGATGTTTAAATTAAAATGCCATTTTTTAATGAAAACTCAAAAATTTTGAATTGATTGAAATGAAAAAATTTCTTTTTTGTTTTATGTTTTGGGTTTTTTTTATTATGATGATTTTTCCCCCCAAAACTGTTTGCCATGTTTCACACAAATTTGGTGATAGTTTCAGAGCTTTTGGCAAAAATCTCTGTTCATGGGAAAAAATTTCAGCTTGCTGATAGTTTCAAAGGAACCTGTGATTAAGTTTTGTGAGGCTTCCTTATGCATAAAATATTAAAAAGTGAGATAGTGTTTAGTTATACACTGCTCTGCAGTTCCACTTAGTATAGAACCCTCTTGACACTGGTGGACAACCTGCTGTACTGATTAAGCAGCTGTCTTCATTGTGGACCACGTTCTGCCATGGATTCTGGGCAAGCTATTTATACTGGAGTCAGGGGGAGCTACAGAGATATTTTACTATTGCAAAATTTTTCTTTTAAGAGCAGAAACCAACTAAAAAGTGTCAGTCTGCATTTTTCTCTGCATATTGTTTTAACCTGGTTTTCTATTTATTTATTTTCATTTAGAAAATCAGATCTTAGAATTTCACATTTTTTACATAGCTAGTTAAATTGACTTTTTCACATCCTCAGCCATCAGAATTTCTTATCAGAACGGTCCCTATGAAGCAACAGCTCTTGCCTTTGCTTCGCTTAGTTTAAATCTCTTCCATGGAAAAAATTCCATTGAAGTATCTATGCCAACTCCAGACTGGATTCTGTCAAGTGCTGAACATTGTCAACCTTTAGCACTTTGTAGGATTGGGCCATTAGTGTATCTTTAGGATGGTGTTCTGCATTGATCTTACTACCTTGTTTGGTCCCACATGTCATATTTTAGCATCGTGAAGGTCTTTTACTCAAGCCTTTGTCTTTTGGGTGATGTAGGAGGTGTAAAGAGCTGTCTCCTGGAATGATGCTACTGTATATATTATTTATAAACAATATCACTTTAATCTCTGCATATTTACCCATAGAGTGGGTGGTGGCATTTAACAAATGTGGGGAAAAAACAAAAAACCTTCAGGTTCAGCAAATTATTCTGTGGGCTTTTTAGTACATGATTTTACAGGTTTCTAAGGGTAGTAAATCTTCATATGTTATCCATGCCGACGTTAGCCAGAATGGTTAATGCCAGATTGTTGTTCTGTCTAATATCTAACAAAAATATTTTCTCCACACACTCACTAGAACAGGTAATTACTGTAGCAAGTGCAGACTAATTTGAAGTGTTAGCTGTTAATTAAAACCCTGCCAAGGTGTACCATTGTCTTTTGGGGTAACCAAAGCTCCTATTCAGACTTCATTAATCACTTTACAGTTATTTGTGTTGAGGAAGGTCAAGACAATTGAGATGCCATATCAGTCTGAAGTAAACAAATTCCCTTTCTCCCAGGTAGCATGCCATTTGCAAAGCCGGGGACACACTGTATCCATGGGCATGGTGTCATCTTTGTGGTCCTCTTCTCAATGATAATTAAATGTTAAATTGGTACTGGCAGTGCTCTGTAAACCAAACCAGGTATCTGTCCTTTGCTGGAAATTTAACCCAAACTTCCACGGATGAATTAGCGTGCATCATAATTAAATAATCAAGTCTTTCCTTTTAATTCACTTGGAAACAGGAGACCTCTCTTATGGAAAAAAGATCAGCTTTCTTGACAAGCTAATTAAGTTGCCAAACTGTCCGGCATAGTACATATTGAACGAACAGACGTTAAGCATGCTATCTCAGCCTGTTCATTTTCTTATCATTTCTGCTGATCTTGAAGTCAAAATGTTTTGCCACTCTTGGTTCATCCATAGTTACAGAGTAGTTCTGTTACTCCACCTGACCCTCATGTATTATGCATTCAACTGTCAGTCTCTGTTCTAGCTTCATTTTACAATCCAGTGTTCTGCACCTTATCTTGGCATTAAAATAATACTGATTTTGACATCTACTTAAAATATTGTCAGACCTTGTAGGTTTATGCCATTCACATATGTATCCATATTAGCCCATAAATTGTTGCTTTAAGATATTTTTAATGAGCTTTTTAAGTTCCCAAACTGTTGACAGAAATGATGCAATTAAAATATGAGTACATGATATTCTTGTCCTGTACTATGTATAATATAGTGCTAAAGTACTGTAATTCATTAAAGTTAATGCTATATAGATTATAACATAATGCACAGTATAATAAACCAGTACTAGACAGTAAGACTACTGAAGGGGAAAAAAAGCTTAAATGGTTGTGTTCACATTCAACATTTATATGTAGAATTTTTGCTCCTATTTTTTTAGGTACTTGGAATGATAAGGATAAGATTATATTCATTTTAGGTCAGCCAACTTTAAATATTTTGAGAGACAAATTGACACACGCTGCTCTTGGATTACTGTACAAATTCGTTTTAAGAACACATAGATATTAAGGTTTACGTGCATTGTTGTAATATATATATTAAGCATACTATAGATATAGAGGCAGAATGTTGATTTCACTAATATCCTGGTTGGTCTTTTGATTACTGAGAATAATCAAATCACCATTGGGGTTTTTCACTTTAATTGAAATAGTTAGGTGTCCCATTGTCTTAACTCTCAAAATGTCTGTACATTAGAGGGGATTAGTTAGTGCTACGAATCTCATTTTATATGGACAATATAGATAGGGTTCTATTATGTTTCCATTACTTTGTAAGTAACTCTGAAAAGAAGTCTGTTCTTGTGTATGTCCATGTTACTATGAGGTATAAAATTCCCTTGTGCACGTGCCTATGTACAAAACATAGTGGGATTTTTAACATAATGGGAAACTGGTGGATCATCTAAACAGTTTTATTGTGCATGAATTCATTTTTCTAATCAACTGTTTTTAAATGTAGATATCTTGAAATGCATTTGCTGTTTGGAAATATGATATGGAAGCTGGTTTCCAGTAAAAGTGTATTTATTTTCGCTAATTCATTTTCTGTGAAATCAATGTATGGGGTGTGTGTGTGTGTGTGTGTGTGTGTGTATATATATATATATATATATATATATACTCATGCAGAGCATATCATGTCCCAAGTGGAAAAATACTGGCAGTAAAGGTAAGATATTGTAGTAATTTGCTGGTTTGGTTTGGGTTTTTGGGGGCAGGGGTTTAGGACTATGGTTTCTTTCCTTTCCTTGCTATAATTATTAAAACTTAATTTGC